CCGTCATAAATTTCAAAATTATTAAGCTCTCTGGATGTTTTTGCAAATAACGCGCGCGAATTAGAGACTAGACGATTAAATTATTATTTCGCAAACGGAGCAGAAAAGTTGACTGTTCTCGAAACCAATTTCAAGGTCTCTTATATTCGCACTATTCGCACTGTTCGCAGTCTGCCCGCACTTGTGCAGTCGTCGCTATTCAACATCACGCTGTTGAATAGCGCTCGCATTCGTGAAAGGTAAAAAGAGTAACGGACAAAGGCTTGAAGACAAAGTACTTGAAGAGTATCGATATTTTATTTTAAAATATGTATATCAATAGAAAACACATACGTAACAAGCGGAAGACCGTAGGGCTGATCAGTCAGAAGCTTTCAGGCCTGTAACATCGTTGTTTCTTCTCTCTCTCTTTCTCTCTCTCTCTCCGCGATCTCTGATCGATCCAATCAGCAATATTGCTTTCATAAGTACACAGTCAAACCTTGATATTTTTTCCTTTATGTCTTCCCATTCTCTTCCAATTTGTCTTCTCGTTCCGCTCTCCTGTTATTAATCAAGTGATGGACGTGAGATAACGGGAAGAGCAGCGCGACGGAAGCGAACTGGGAGAGAGAATAGGGGGAAAAAAAATACAGAAAGGAGAATCACAAAAATCTGACTGTATAAAACGATACTTGCGTAAGGAACTAAAACGTGCGAGTTCTTTTCGCGCTTTTTCTTTTACCAGTCTTTGACCTATCGTGCCCTAAAGCGTCACGCTGCTTCGATCATCAGCGATTCGTTAAATGGTTGTTAATTGACGTGACACCGTGACGCTATGACGCCGGCGCCGCGGCGAGACAATTTTCTTGCTGCGGTCAATGTCAATATGCTGTCAATAATGTATTTGACAGGTTACTCTTAAAGTATTTATGTATTTAAAAGCTATTTTTATCTTCATCCTACAAATATATGTACAATAATTACGACAAAAGATAGACTGATAAAGATTCATCTGATATACTTTTCCAATAAAAAAAATCTATTACACGCAGTTTTATCAAGTTGATAAATTGCTTTGGAACGCAAATTAAATTGATGAATTAAATGACAAGATTTTTCGCATCTTGTTGTCGCTGCGATATAATAGAAGAATAGCGGCAAACTTTTACATTTATATTTCTACAAATATCGGAGACAAAATACTCATTTAATCTGCGTTTAGTCATAGAGAAGATGTCAATGCAATTACATTTTCCGATGTTAGAAAAGCTTGAACATTTTCGGGCGGTGAAAAATAATTGAAATATTTTCCATCACCCTTTTTTTGTCAATTTTTTATGTAGATGTTGAAAAAGAAAGGAAAATAAATTCAAATTTCTCTCATTTCCGTGTTAAACGAAATTCATTGCGGGTTCAGATAGAATTCGATTATTAGAGAATCCGCAAAAGAGAATTTTAGACCGCGCATCTAAAACAGTAATTTTCAAACTTCAAGCATTTAATATGACGATTTGTATATTCAGTAATTTAATGATATTTATCGTTCCATTTTTATTGCCATTGCGATACTATTTCATCGTCCTGATGAAAAAGCGCGAGACATCTTCGTACAAATCTGTATTATAAAATCGTTGTAGTAAAATGTGTTCGGCAAATGTCATATTATCTTTTTATAAAATTACTTTTTGCCTGAATTAAATCAATTTCGTTCGGCAATAGATATATTTGTTAGGATATTCGCAGCTGTCGAGGACGTATCCCTCGTTTCGCTGAAGCGTTGCATTATGTTTCTGAAAAAGAGAAATTCTTCATGTGGTCACAATTATAATGTTACACTGCTAAATCTTAAATAAGACGAAAAATTCAAAAGGTAAATTAAACAAACAAATTGTCGAAGGCGATTGACGATAGTAAAAATGGGTTTTCAGGTTTTTACGTTAATGGCTCGATAAAAAATAAAACTTCAGAGAATTTAATTTTATGCGTATAGGTGAATGTGCTCATTCTTTTTTCTTCATCGACTTTTTGCTATTTTCTCATTACATACCTTTTCTGCTCACCAAGCAGTTCACTATCCCTTTCTACGGCGATCTCCGCCGTCGTGCAGGCTCTTGATTTATCGGCGCTAAACTGTTGCAAATCCAAATTGCCGTTGTGATTACATCCGTTTTCGCATCTGCTCAGATAGATATCCAGCAACGGCGAACGGCAGGTGTCGCGTGGTGATAGATAATCGGGATTGCTCGGTGATAGAATCTCCTCGTAATACTCTACGCTCTTCGGTTCTAGGCCACTGACGGTGGAGCCATACTTCTTCGGCAAAGTCGACGTGCTTCTACCGCAATAGGAAGAGTCCGCGACACCGTCGTTCAGGAACGATCTCGACAGGGTACTCTTGTACGAGGGTACTCGAGTGAGATCGTTGTCCGCAATGACGTCCGTGCTGTGATACTTGGCGCGAGACGCGACGAGGTCCAGCGTCGGGGATCTCACGTATCTCCTGAGAGATTCGTGTGAGGAAGACGGCAAGCCCGTACTACCGTAAGGATCGAACAACTTTCTCGCTTCCGTCTGATGACCGTGCAACGACATGTTCAATGCGTCGCTGCATCTCTCTCGGTCGACCGGTGATTTCCTCGAGGACACCTCGTCGTCGCCGTACAAAATGTAACTTTTGTCCTTCGCCCTACAAAATATTTTTAATTACTCGCAACGGTTGGTAGGAGAACTCTTGGTTTGTAAAGTGATTTATGAATTAAAAACGTAGCTCGATTTATTTTTCATATCCTTATTTCATCTAGTTACGGATATATTCAAGCTTATATTTAAACGGGCGAAAAGTCGCCTTGAAAAGAAGCAAATTTACCTCATCCTGGGAACTCCATAATTATACGATCGGTCTCGGTCGCGGTCCCTCTCTCTAAAACTGTTGAAGCTGAATCTTCTAGGCAGAGTCACGCTGCTCACTCCCGGTGGCGGCGCCGTCAAGGATGGCCTCTTTCGGTCATTGAATCTCGAGTAGAAACTGCGCCTTCGTATTCGATCTATTACCGATTCCGAGCTGTCGCCACGCATGAATAGAGAGTACGACGGCGATGTCGGCGAGTGCAAATCGCTGCGATTGTGATTCAGGTCAGCCGAGCAGATTGACCAGGAATCGAAACTTTCGGGCTCCTCGGGTGAGAATATCTCGCTGGTGCAATCATCCGGTGGCTCTTTAGCCTCTTTAGTCACTCCGTGGTTAACGTCGTTGAACCCTTGAGAAGAATTCAGCTTGATCTCTCTCGATTCTTCGTCCTGTACAATCTCTTTCGGTTCGCCCGAAACGAATGCCTGATCGGCGACGGCTCGCTGGCTGGAGCGAGCTGGATCGTTTCCACGCGATTCCACGTGATTTTCTATGATCCTGGCGCATTCGGTGACCTCTCGCTTCAGATCGGCAACGTCCCTCGCTCGCAACGGCTTATCGATGATTATCTTGTTGCCGGTAATGTTGGCGTGGTGCGTCATCTTGGACAAGCACTCCATCAGTTTGTCCGAACCACACCTCTCTAACGGATCGTCCGTTTTAGGCGATCCGACAGATGGGATGGCGGGATTCGCCCTGGGTGACACGGACCTAGGCGAGTCCGGCTCTCTCTTGGGAGTCGCGTGTCTAAATGCGTGTTGCGGTATCTTGGACAGATCGAGTTTCAGATTCGCCCTACTCGGCCGAGATTGTTCCAATGGCTGTTGCCTCGACTGACAGATATCGAAGCTCGAGTCGATCCGAGCTGCGGGACTCGTTGGAACCGCGGGAACTGACAAGTCCCGCGGCAAAGCGCTCAAACTTGGACAGTTCTGAGAATTCGCCCGCGGGGCTGCGGCAAGCGATTTAACATCGTTTACATCGACGTTATCCGATCCAGTATGGGTTTCCTCAATGCCACTCCGCGTCGCATTTGTATTTTCCGTAGCATGTTTGGCATTCATGGGCTTTTCCGGCAAGTCCGACTTGGCCCGTGTCGCGGCCGCGGTCGCGGGAGTCTGATCATTGGGATCGTTTCCTTCGATCGAAATCAAACCTTCCTTTCCTCGTGCCGTGACATTTGGACCTTCGGGACTCTTCTCCTTCTTCATCATCACGGGTTTCTTCGCATTTGGCAGCTTCGATGATTTGCCTTTTTTGTCGGACTTGTTCTCAGAGCTGTCGGACGATTTCTTGACGACTTTCCTCACAACGCGTACTATTCTCTTCTTAGAACCATCGATCTCATCTTTAGCACAGACCGCATCTTCCTTCGGTTTGACCAAATTCTTAATCTTCTTATCGACTTTATCGACATCTTCGCTTTTGTCGATCCTTGTCGCGACGGACTCGTTCCTCATGCCTACTAGAGAGCTAATGTTCCTTTTGGTTTTTATCAGTTTCTTATCTTCGCTACTGACGATGGAATCTGCGTGCTTATCTTCCACGATTTTCCACAGAGATTCCGACTGGTCCAACGACTTTCTTTTCGGTGAGTCCACTGTTTTGTCTAGCTTTATTTTATCCACGGATGACGACGCCGAGGAGTCCGAGGATGGCGCCATTTTTTCCGGCGTTCTTTTAATTTCCCTCGATTGCTTTTCCATCAAAGTTTTCCTTTCCTTAACGATCGACTCTTTTTCCTTAGCTTTCTCCTTGGGCGGCGATCTTTTCAACTCGGTCCCTACCTTCTCCTTAGGTGGCGATCTCTTGTTCTCCGGGAGCTTTTTCGTCGACTTATTGTCGGTTCTAGGGAATTTCGTCGGTATTTTACTCGTCGCGGTTACGTCTTCCTCCATGAAAGACGACTCGACCGACTTGACGGCCTTGGGCGGGCTCCTCTTCAATTTGCTCATAATCGCATTCTGCGTCCGGCTGCCGCCGTTCGCGTTCCGTTTGGTGGTATCCGCGTTCGTCTTGAACAGTCCCAATACCGACGTCACTCGTCCCTTGGATGGCGTCACATTCTTCGCGTCCTTGTTTGATCCTCCACGACGCGAGAGATCCTCCACGCTCAACGTTCTCTTCACCTCGGACAAGCTCAGTTCCGCGGACGGACACTCGGCGGACACGGGCGGCGCGGAGCACTCACGCAATTCGTGTTCCTTTGTGAGATCGCCTGAGATCGAGCTGCCGTTCATCGTCGGCTTCGCAGCCGTGCTGGTCGTCTCATCGTTAGAGCGCAACCTCTCCAGCTTCTTCTCCAACGAATGCAGAAAACTGCTCTTCGAGCCTTGTTCGGTCTTCGCTCTCTTTTTCTCTTCCTTGTTGGACTTGTCCTTGAAGGAGGAAGAGGAAGACGGCGAGGAGGAGGAGGGAGAGGAGGAGAAAAAAGCGGCGGCCGGGACGACACCGTCCAACTTATCCTTTTGCAGCGCGTTTATCTCATTCTTTAGTTCCTTACAGATCTTTTCGTCCTTCGAGTCGTCCTCCTTGCGCTCCTTGCTCTCATTTTTTCGCCTCATGAACCGCGACTTCCGACGCTCGTTCTCCGCCGCTCTCTGCGCTTCCTTCTCCTTCACGTACTGACTTTCCTCTCGCGGCGTATCGAAAAAGTCCGGTCGCAAGAAGCGTGAGATACGATGTTTCGGTTTTTGGCTTCTATTGCTTGGGTCCTTGGGTTCGGCCTCCTTACCGTTGCCGTTGCCTTTGAAGAGTTTGCTCAGAATTGATCTTTCCTGATTAACGCCTCCGACTGACGAGTCAGATGAGCCGGCGAGCGACTTTCCGCGGTCCACGCTCACGCTCGATTCTCTAGTCAACGAGCCCGAACGTAATCTGAGACTCGGAATGCAACTGCGTCTCTTGGTGCATCCCAATGACAATGGATCCGAAGTGGTCATCAGAGTCTCCTTGTCGCACTTGTCCGTATCCTTGTAATTGCAGTTGAGATTCGGATTAAATTGTTGCGACGTCAAATTCTTCAATTTCGACTCTTTGATTAGATTCTCCGCCGCGAGCAATCGGTTCTCGAAACTCTTTGAGAGATCGGACCTGCAGACCGACTTGCCGTAGTCACCCAGATTCGACGAGGATTCCGTGGGTGAGATTTCGCAGGATCTGGCCGACTGGCTTGAGGTAATGGTGGTGGTGATGGTGGTGTTGTTCATCGATGTAGCGTTCGAGTTGCACCCAGATATCGATGTATCCTCCAATATGGAACCGTCCTCCGTAATGTTGTCCATGTCCTCTTTGAGTCCGCAGGCAGACAGGTGCGTATCGTCGCCGGGCTCTTCCTGGATCTTGTCCGTTCTGTAACCGTGAAAGCTATCTCGCCTCACGTTACCAATGACGTTCGATCTAACCGATTCCTTGAATCTGCGACCGAGCGTCATTATATGTTTCGGTAGAGGCGGCAATAGCTTGTCATCGCAGTTGTCGTCATCGTCGAACAGGCTGATGCTTCTTCGTGGGGAGTGCCGTTCCGATTTATCGTATTTGCATGGCTCTAGCAAGCTGTTGGCCCTCCTAATACCTCGATCGAGCGATCTGCCTCTGTATTCGGTCCGATCGGAAGTCGTGGTCGTGGATGTGGAGTAACGTTTTGCAACCTCGCTCGGCCCTACCAGACTTTGCGCCATATGTCTCGTTGGCGACTGATAACTGTTCCTGTTGTTGTCGCGCGCAGATGATGGTGAACGCGGAACGGATTGTCGGGTTTGCTCAATAAATTGCCTACTCAATCTACGTGCCAAGCTGGGAGTGAAATTCTGCTCCAGAGATTCTTGCGCCTCTTTCCTCATTTTCGCCGCTGTTTCCGTTTCCATGTCTTCCGCTTTGCGTGTTTCTTCTACATTATCTGAAAGCAATCGAGACAGAATCTATGCATATTCCCACATGGGTGTGTGTCCGCATATATGTGTCTGCACATATGCGTGATTGGATAACGATTGCATGTTGTTCTTGTTGCTGTTGTTGTGTTGTAGGATGTATGCATAAAAATACTCTCGTAATGTCATTATTTTTTCACACCTTTATTTCTACATACATAAATCCTTTTTATAAAATTTGTCGAAAAATGTAATAAATAAGAAGAGACATCCTCTCTTGCGCTCACTCGCTCACTCGTTCACTCACTCTCTCACTCTCTCACTCTTTCTTTCCCCCTCTTCCTCCCAAATTTTGTCAAATTTCACCAGATGTCTTCTCCCTGTATGGCTATACGTGGTGCAACTGTATTCATATACGTCGATGTATATTTTCAAGTCATGGAAGCTCTCTAAACGTGACTATTACGCTCTGCGGGATATGAAGTTAGAGTATAGTGGAAGATTTCGAAATAATCTTAAAAGAAAATCATGTACAAGTAATAGCTCATTGAAAATATGCATCAACGAAATTGTAGCACTAGCGTGTATACATACCGTATCTTTTTTTATATTGAAATATTAATACAGAAAGTTACAAGTGTATACTCATTTAACAGTGACCATGCAACTAAAAGGTTCGTCTTACATCTCTCTCTCTCTCTCCCCCTCCCCCTTTCTCTCCCCGCGGGGAAACAATTATAGACTTCAAGTAACAAATAACACACAAAGTAATAGTATTAAAATTATGTCTTGTAGAATAAATATTCATATATGCATATCACTTGGACTTGGTACATTTCTAAATCACAGTATGTTAAATGAGTAGACTCAGGATAACAAGTGCACAGTAGGATATAATATTAAATACAATATATATATATTGCATTACATCAAAGCATGCGAAGACAATATAAAGTAATAAAAACGCTGTTATTTAAACTCTTAAAAACACAACAAATATCAGCCATCTCAGACAAGGGTTAGCTTCCGCGCTTGCAAGTATACAATTTTTTCCCTTTTTTCCTTTTTTATCAAATAACAATGTCACATAGATAATTCTCTTTCGTATAACAAAGTTACTCTTGAGTTTTTAGAACATGGCAACAGATAACTTATCTAATAACGATTTTCGCGAGTGCGCGGGTTCGGTATGACTTATTCCAATGCTGCACAATGTCGCATCTCGTTTATGGCCGTCACTCGCTAACATCGGAGCTTTCAAGTACAATCGGTGTGCTTAAAACTATAGGTATACGCATCTCACTCACCATCGGTTCAATATGCATTAAATATGTACACTGTCGTGTACTTTCTCATCTATTTTATGTTTTTATATCACTTTATCCAAATATGTATATTTATATATATCTGTGGTACACTTAAGAATAAATCATACCAAAAGTAATCAAGATTCATAAAGACTCGCGAACCGGATGTTTGATCTCATTCAAAACGCACATAATAAAAAGGTGTTAAAAGTGTATATTGCTTTCGAGCTTTGTACGTTGTTGCGCACAAGCAAAATCATTTATAATGCGAGAATGCGTATGTCTTCCCATCGTGATGAAAATTGTACCGTTTTACCGGACGCATCGATCAAAGAGACTCTATGTGATAACATAAAGAACCAAGTACATTTTCGAGAAACACATCGGGCGAGTGCGCGATTTCACCGAATGGCGAAAGATTCCTTTTTCTTTTTCTTTTATATTCTCAGATGTACAATAAGGCTACGTGCGACTTTACTGGCGTCACATTCACTTCGAATTAGGCATACAAGATATCACTACCTAACTTGGTTTGTCTACTGGGGATTACCGTCAGCCCGCCTACGTAGAGTCACTCGCACGGTCGCTGCAACAACCGTCAATAAAGCCGTCAATCAACGTATCACAAAACGACGCTGTTTATAGATTTTTTTTTAATGATATATCTTTGATAATAATAATTGTTTGCTAACTTAATGGCTAAATGCGATGTCAACGAGAGATATTTAATGTATATCTTATTAAATTAAACAGGGTCTTCCTTGGATTTTCTGACAATTTTCTGTAATTTACATCGTTTACAAAAAAGCTTATATTTTCTCTCTTATCGTCGTGATTATTTTCCTTAATTCTTAATTGCATAATTTTACTTTGTATTTTTGTAACTTTGTTACATTTTTAGAAACGGGATCGAGACTAGTGAAACAAAAGCTACTTTACGTTATCGATTGAATTTTCTCATAAGTAAATAAAAAGAAGGTCGTTTTAGAAGTCCCTGTCGTTAAGTTAATCATGTCAAAAAATCATAAAACTTTTACTACGATTCTGATATGCACACGAGAGTGCTAACAAACAATTATTTTAAATTACTGATTGAAGAGTCGACGATAGACGTAAATTAATGCATGAATTTGAAAAATTTAAATGGATATAATAAAATGGATTTCTGTCTTGGGTAGTGGAATTGAGACTATTGTACATTGTATGTGGATATGTATGCAGACATGCTCCAAAATTTTTATGTACACTAGGCGAATGAAAAAGAAGAAACTGCTACTACGATGTTATGAGATAATTAAAATCAACAGCGGCAGTGCATTGCAATAACTATGGCATATTACAAGGTTCTATGTAAGGCAGAGTGAGCTTGCTATTTACTCTAATGTTTCCTGACGTTTCCTTCATTTATTGGGGACAGATCCTATTTGTTATTTTATTAGCTATTCTCAATATTCAAACATATAGGTGTATTTCGTATTAAAAATTAAATTAATTTGCAACCACCCCATTACAGACTTACAGACCCTGCAGCTTTATGTAGATTTGAATAAATAAAAGGGAAAAAAAATAAACAATTAAAATTATTAGGTAGGTTGCCCCAAAGAATTGGGTCATGCAAACATGCTTTTGAGAAGCATGCAGGATCTAAAAATAGTATTGTAAAAGAGATTTGTTATCCCTCAGTCATATTTTTAAGAGAATTATATAGAATAATTCTTAATAACATGTCGGTTGTCGGTACTTAAAAGTTAAATCTGAAGTTTGAGACAAGAATGAAATACGAATAGGATTTTTTTTGTTTTAAGATACATTACGATGAAAAAGAAAGATATTTAAGTAATTTCGGCAAATAAACGATTCGTGTTAGTCTGTTTTCATGTAACTCTTTTCTCTTATTTCTTCGGATTCTACATTCATCTCTTGAGGTACCGACACATTAGGAAGAATTGCCACACGCGCACGCGTATAACTTATATGTATACAAGTAAATATTACTTAATGTTATATCAATTTATGTAATTTTTTCTTCTTTTTTTTTTTTTTGCTTACGAATCAAATATTCAAATAAAATCGCAATTAATAAAAGATCTGTTCCAAACGTATACCCATCTGTGCCAAACATGAACCATATAATTAATCTATAAGGTGTTAGTATCAAAAGTCGCAAACATGTTCAGGCAAGAAATCAAAAAAATTAATATATTGGAAAGAGAAGTAATAAAAAAGACAGAAACAATAAGGGTAAAAGTAAAAAAAAAGATGTGCTTTGTCTATCAACGACTCGACAACAGCTAGATACTAGGAGAGATGCATACTGAATACCATCCAGCATTTTCTCACAAGGCTAATAAGTTTAACTAGTAACGAAATAGCATGATGATCACAGCAATTTAACAGAAGCTTCTATCATCCATCTTACATACTTTTAATTCACACTATATACATGATCGCTATCAAATTATCAATCGTTATGATACTCAACTTGTTTACACACACACACACACACATATATATATATATATATATATATATATATATATATATATATATATGTAAATAGACAAGTTGGGTAAAAGGCAAAAAATTACAAAATCTTTGGCTTCTGTAAAAATGTGGATCAACATTCTATAACATTAAATATTCCCATGTACAATTTGCAGTGGACCTTGATCAACAATGAATTCGTAGATTATTTAAATGCTAAGGAAATATGTCACTTTAAACATTGACTTTCATTACGTATAATCATTGCGTATAATTTATTCTACGATCTCGCGTGTAAGGTACCACATTAAATTGTAAAATATGATTGTATTCTCTTACCTCTGGGTAAGGTGTTGTTCCCGATTTCAAAGACACTCTCTCTGGAAGGTGTGCTACGCGATCCAGGACTATTTGGAGTTCCGGGATTAGAAGTACTGGCGGAGTCTCTCTTCGAAAATATATCCGCATCGCGATTCAGAGAATGTTTAAATTGCGATTCCGACAGCCGCCTGTGCGCACAAGAAAACGACAAAATGTCACTTCTATGCTATACGACAAATTAGCTCTATGGTAGATTTACGTATCATTAGGAAAACATATGATCGAGCATATGATAGAAAGGAGATAGCAAGAGAAAGATGTTCACATCGAGTGGAAAATCTTGTGTGAAACGAGAGAGTGCAAAATAAGCAGGAGTCTACAAAGACAAAAGTATCAGTACTGGCAAGGTGCAAAGATGTTGGCAAGAAGCAAAGAGTGTCAGCCTATAGCAGGTATTTCGGGCTCGTTTATTTTCACAACCTGTACACTACTCTCGGGTATCTCAAGTGGCGCATGGTTAAGCCAAAGTGGGAGAAATTAGGTTGGCACAAACGTGTACACGTATATATAATGCGATCTAATTTTTAACCTGCTTGTAGCGTGTGTCCAATTGCAATTTCTGTATTTCGTTTTATTAAACGGCGATTCCTACTACTTGTATCTCAGCTAGCAGGCGCGTACACTAAGTTCTCTATTACAATCTCTTTCTGTACAATTGGACTCACGTAGTCATGGTCCGTGTTTCGACATAGCTCTCGTAGCTTGCACAGACAAGCGTAAAACCATCATCTCTCATCATTATCATTATCAAAGTGAAACATTCTTAAATAACAAGTTAGTCCAGTTAAAAAACGTTTTATCTCGAGATCTCAGTATTAATCTAGTCTTATTCTCGATATATGCCTGTGCGATATATTAATTTTAACTTTGGAAAATGATGAGTATAGTACTCATACGAATAATAATTCGAGATTGTGTATTTACCTGGACAACGGTTTGTTAAGACCCCAAAACGCTTGCGATGATTGGGAGCCGAGTCTACCAAACAGTCTACTGCTTGGGAAACCAGCAGATCGATTATCATCAACGTTGAGTCGCTGCGTCAGACTTCGCACTCTGGACAGCAATGTGGAAAACAAGTTTTCAGCAGTCAATAACTCGAAACCGTCATCATCATCGTCCTCGCCAGACGACAAGCTGTCGGCGTGCTCGGATGGTTGCCTGGATGGTCGCGAACTCCTCAACCGATGCATATGTCTTTGCAACAAATCCTCCCTGTCGAGAGACGAAGTATTATACAAATTTAAGTTTCGTAAAATCTTGAATTTATGATTTATTGTTGTCGAGCTGACGCTCTCAAAACTTAAAACCGAATCATTACGAAACCGAATTTGACGAAATGTCAAGATTAACTATATTATTTACCCATGCAACGGAGAGAAGGGAGACTCGTCTTCGCTAGCGTCCGATAAAAGAGAGCTCATTCTTCTTGGTCTACCGAATCGGGATCTCGATGGATTCGTACTTGTCGGTGTGCCAGTCTTATTCTCCGGCTCCAGACTCCCCGATCTGGGAGTAACGTAACCGCCTCCCTCTACCGCGATAGGAATTATGTACTCTCTAGGACTCTTCCTGATTGGCTCCGGTCCTATGGTTGAACCGAGAGCGCTGTCCGTGTCTGAATCGGCGGTCGATTGGCGAGACAGAGAATCTGATCGTTGAGACATCGATCTCTGGGACATTGGCGGTTTAGGCGGTGGTGTGGACGAATGCTGTGTACGCTCAAGTCCTGCCTCTACCTATAATTTTCATGACAATTTCGCAGATGTTAAAAAAATCGATCCTTATTTCGTTAATTTTCAAACTCTAGAAAAGTATATGTATGCTTCCAAAATAAACACTGTTGATCTCTCTGTACCTGGATAGGTATAATTCTTTCTTTCGGCGGTGCAGCCTTAGGTCTGCCTTCTGGTTCTAAGCTTGAACTTCTGTTTGCATGAGGCACCGCTGCGGCAACTGGGAACGCCACCTCCGATCTTTGCGTGCGCAATTTCTGCGGCTGAAAAGCATCAATCTTAGCTTCTACCTCAGACTTGAATGCTACAGTTTCTGGCGGCCTGACTCCGGACAATGTAATTTCAGCTTTGCTTGTTTTTCGTCTCGGTAACGTTGCACTCTTTAACATTATTTCCATTTTACTAGATATCTTAGGTTCCTCCAACTGCGAATTTTCGACGCCAGTTGTGTCAGACGTACTTGTGATCTATATTACAAAAAAAAAAGAATAGAAAAGAAAAGTAAACAAAACTAGATGTGAGCCGAATATGTAGACAATCGAATGATATGAAATGATATGAAATACATTAACAACAGCATTTGAGTTTCGTACTTACAGTTGTTTCTGGTGTCGCTGGTTTAACATCAAGGCCGAATTTCGTCTCGACCGGCGTAGAGACCGACACCGTGGCCGATCGCACGTCATTCGGCGCAACCTGTATCTTCAATCCGAGTTTCTTGGAGTCCAGGCTCTGAGGCGATATCTGAGGCGGCGAGCCGTTCAATTTCTTCTGCATTGGAGGCTTACCGATGGCACCACTAATAATATCGACAGCGCGTTTCTTCGCTTCATCTCGCTTATCCAATTTGTCCTCGGTAATCATCTCTCGATCTCCACAATCTCCCAGTGCTAGCTTCTGCTCGTCCTTCTCGTTTTTCTTGTTGGTTGGTACATCGATGATAACTTTGGACGCGCTGACTTTCGCAGGTGGTGGTGTGGTTATAGACGAAAGACTAGCCTTTCGTTCAAAGGCTCGTTTCGCGCCTCCTACGTTAACGCCAGGAATAAAGATCTTTTTAGGTTTCTCGTTTTCCGCGGTAGACGACAGTTGATTGAACTTTTCAGCTGTCTCAAATATTTTAGAGCGCCGTCTCTCGACGGGTTTAGCAGGTGGAGCGTCGTTTGTCACCTCATTCGACAGCTCGGAATCCAAGGAGAGTGCTTTTTCTTTCAGCTTTTTAAAATCGTTCTCCGTTGGTTCTAATTGCTGCACGTTATCTTGCGACACGTACGTCTCGTTTCTGACGTTTGTGTCGCTTTTATTTGGCACTTTTGATTCCATATTGCCTGACTTATTATTGTTAAACGCTTTCTCGTTCGCTACTTTATTCGTGTTTTCTAAAACAATCCTCTCGATCACGTCTCCGTATAAACTATTGTTAGGAGACTTGGTACACTTTTGTTGCGACTTGTCTCGCTCATCGCTAGCCTTTCGATCGATCTCACAGATCTGCTGAACGCTCTCGGTAGACAATGGCTCACGTGACTGTTGATATTCGTTTATCAACGGAGTCTTACTTCTCTCTTTACTTGACGATCTCTCCTTCGATTCTTCGATCAGCTCTAGACAAGCTGCCGTATCTTCTATTTTATCAAAGTCAACAGTCTTACTCATAGGAACAGTTACAATGGCTGCCGGTTCCACCTCCATCGCCTCTTCCGAAATAGAATTTGGAATTGGAGCCGAATGATGCCTAGGACAAATTAAATTTTCATGCCAATTAGAAAATAATTTCAAGACAAATATATCTATAATATCTCGACGAGGATTTACCTTGACGAAGATCTGTACGCCCTAGGCTCTCTTTCGTCTAACTTTTCTTTCCTTCTGGACCTCTCTTTCCTCTTCACGCCCGCCGCGGCCGTCTCGTCCATCGACGGTGTTGTCTCTAGTTTTCTCTTAGCGTCTCCAGCTGCGGAAGACCTCGGTTGTTCCTCCTCGAACAACTCTCTTATCCTTCTGTCGGAGCTATTCTGATCGAGTTCCATTAAGCTACCGACCGAATGACATCTAGTAGGCACCAAAGTTTCGGAAGACACATTATTTGCGACATCCCCGCCTGCCTGCTGATCGCCTCCCACTAGCAATTTCTCAGCGCTGGCCGACTGTGGCACCAGAGAGAGCAACAGATCTAGTCGAACTGGCGTCTGAGCTGCCAAATCCTCGGCGATATCGAGACAATTCTGCTCGTAACCTTCGTTCACCCACCAGTGAGTACAGATTCTCTCGATATCGGCACGTCTGCCGGGACATACCGTGAGCATCTCCTTTATAAGCGGCGAAGCGGCTAAAGCAGAGGAAGATCGATTGAGTTGAATAGAATCGAATTGTCGCTCTATTTACTTAATAAAAATTCCGCAAATAAAAAACTTGCTTCAGTACGAGAGTTTATTCTTTATCGAGTCCTATACTAATTCAATATCCGAGAAATTGACAACAATTTCTCGTAATTTATAGAGCCGCGTGAGTCGACGCCGCGGCCGCGCGCGCATACGAGCATACTTATTATACTCACGGGATGGCTTTTTGGGCTCGAAATAATCGGATTGTGAGATCTGTTTGACTAGTCGTTTAAAGTTGGACCCATCGAAGGGCATAGCACCGTAGACCAATGTGTACAGTAGAACACCTAGACTCCAGCAATCCACTTCCGGCCCGTGATAAGGAGTTCCTTTCACTATCTCCGGACTCGCGTATAACGGACTGCCGCAAAACGTGCTTAATAATCGCTGCTCGTCGAACACGTTCGAGAGACCAAAATCGGCTATCTTGGCGTTTCCGACTTGGTCCAACAAAATGTTCTCGAGCTTCAGGTCTCTGTGACAGATTTTGTGTTTATGGCAATAGAAAACAGCGGTGGCTATCTGCCGGAATATTCTGCGGGCCTCGTGCTCGCCCAGAACTTTTCGCTCGCTTAGATAATCGTATAGTTCTCCCCCGGCCGCATACTCCATTACCAGCACCATCTTCTCTCTGTTTTCGAACACTGTAAAAGTAAAAGTACAACACGAGATTGCCTCTCAAGAATCTCGCTGTGGGCATAAGCCCCCAAGCAAGGGCAAGAGCATAGGCAATATCATTGATTAAAGCTAATTTCAAAATCGTGTACCTACACCTATACCTACGTATATCAATCGATCGATTCTCTTTTCTTACGTGTCAACTTATCAGCTGTCACGTAGACAAAAAAGAATGTATTCGAGGCTAATTGTGTAAGATTAATAACTAGTTTATAAATAGTATAAATCACACTCCTACACTAACTGTGTCATTCAAATTGTAATACATTATGTTATATTTTACAAACAACGTTACCTTCGTAAATGTGAATAATATTCGGATGTTGAACACTCGACATGATCTGTATCTCCCTCCGTATTCTGATCAGATCAGCTTCCGTTTCTATTTTGCATTTTTTAATTGTCTTTATTGCCACCTCTTGACCAGTCTCCTTGTTTATTCCCAATTGCACCTTACCATAGGTGCCCTGTCCTAATTTCTTTATAATGTCGAACCTGCGAGACATTTCGAGACGAGAATATATCAGACGGTTTAATCGGTTTAACCGAAAATCGGTCTATCCGAATCTGACTGTGGAACGCAATAAACGCAATAATTGCGATTTATCTATTGGATTAATCGCTACTTGGATTGGCTACAGTGCTACGCTAAACTTTTATTCATCTCAAACTATTTATACTTGGCAATTACTGCATATTGGAATCTTGTTTGGTTTCATGTTTTTTGAAGCCACTTGAAAGCGCGTCTTTATAAGCAGAAAAGAGAATGAGTTACGCGACTTATCAATTAAAATCGATTTACAAACCTTTGCTTCAGCTTCCGCTTGTGATTATGAAGGCGCACGCCACCCGTGCTCTCCATCCCCCCCATTATATTATGTATACTTGCTTCTCCGACAACCATCTTGTCCGCGTTTATCTGAAAAGAAGACACATCACAGATTCAAATGTTTTTCCGACGTGTACTTGTACACTCTACCGGCAGGAATGCCTGGACATAAGACATATACAAATACATGTACAAATATGTCATATACATATCAAAATGTCCAGGCATTCCTGCCGGTCAGTGTACATTTTATTTTAATTTCACTGTGATTTCGTCGAGATATTAACATTATCATAGCACGATTCTTCTCCTTCTCTCTCTCTCTCTCTCTCTCTCTTTCTCTTTTTAATCGCTTCCTGTCTTCCAGGCGAAACCGTCGCGTCGACGCGGACGACGTCCTACTCTCTCGTAAACGAGGATGACAGCGGCGAAGGGTGGTTATAGCCATCTGAGTCTTACATTAAGAAATGAAGAAAGCGAAAGCAAAGAGATGAGGAAAAGAGACAGAGAGAGAGAGAGAGAGAGAGAGAGAGAGAGAAGCAGAATGTGGCAAGTTTATTTCAGGCGTTGAGACGCCAGTATACGTGCCGACCCGTCGTCGGTGGGTTTCTTCTCCGCACTGTCTTCTTGTCCTCCCTACACGTACCAAAAAGACTCTTGGTCGTTAATTTCAAAAATTCTTCAGAAAAACTCTTCAGGGTAACATTTTTAGTAAAATATACCTTAACTGAGCACAATAATCGTCTATATTTTTTCATCGATCGCTGATATCTATGTATAAATGATGGGCATCACATGCCGATATAATCAATGTATTCAGTGGAATACCTTGAAGGAGACTCGATAAAATGACAGTCAAGTTAAAATTGTTAAGTACAATAAAATGTAAATCAAAAATAGCAGAAAAAAGTCTCAGCACCTGCGATAGAATAATACGTTATTGGGAAAAATGGAAGATTAAGTATAAAACGAGAAAAGAGACTTTCCTCAAAGAGAGCTAGACACATACTCTTACTGATTTCTCATACTTGATTTTGTTAGGCTATAATCTATATAATCTATGTAAAACGAAAGTGTCAACAGTATAACAATGGTATGTACAACAGTACTTGGAGCTCATTGTCAGTTGGTTCGATATACGGTACGGATAGTATGGTATGTATTAACGAGCTCAAATTCTAAACTCTAATTCTAAATTCTAGTCTCTAGTCTCTAGCGACTAAAGAGGCATTATTCTTACTTGAGCGGTGCCAACGATCGCGAATCACGAGTCAAGCAGCCAATTCTCATAGTCTTTCGAGAGAATTTTTCGTCGCCAAAATAGCCCTCGCAAGCACTTGCATAAATTACGCCACAGTTTCGTCAAGCCTCGACGCTGCCTGGTTCGCCGGCGAATTACCACAAGCATCGCATAAAGCATAAAGCATAAATCACAGACATAAGTACGCGAGACGTTTTCAAAACGGTTGAATTCTATCTCGTCAAATCAATCCTCCATCAATTATATCACAAAATACCAATATATCGACGACCTCCGTTAGAGTTACTAACGATTGCGAGTAAGATTGTAAGAGATCGAAGATGAAGACAAGACTCATCGTCAGTTAAGTATTATATGTACATTGAAGGAATCAAGACAAAAGCAAACACTCGGTGTTTAGTTGTCGAGATGCTCAATATCGGGAATTATAACAGATAGCGAAAAGGAAAAGTGCGACTCGATGAAACTGACGACATTTCGTCGCGGGCACCCAGCAAGGTCCGCCTCCCGCGGCGCGAGCGCTTGGAAGATAAGATCCGAGATCCGAGAGGCGAGGAGCGATTCTGCCCTCGTCCGAGTCGTCCGAATCGTTCGAGACAGGAGCCTCAGCCTCGTCGCTCGGCTATTAATGCATCGCGCGATGGATAACGGCTGACTCGAGCTCGAGGTGCTTGCGCCAAGGATGAATGAAACCGAGAAGGCGACGCGACGCGACGACGTCGCGATGGCTCACGTTACGGCTGGAATACGGAAGCTTCGTTCGACTGTACTCGCGACTACGTCGCTTGAACTAGGAAAAATCGGCAATGAAAATTGGTGCGAATCTCTCGCCCGCTCCGCTCTCGATACACTCCCGACCCGATCGGTCGCTCGCTCGATGCGTTACGGTATTTTTAGCGAGCGTAGACCCGCGACGGCAAAGCTCCTCTCGTCGCCGTCGCGTCGGCGGTTTGATTTGATTTCCAAGGACCGACTCTCCAACTCTCGTCTCTTCCTCTCTTCGCGCGCAATCAGCCGATCATTCGATCTCTGGTCACTCCGGTCGCTACTGGTCTAGAATCTCAAGGAATTCTATTCCAGAGATTCAGCGATCACGATCTACTATAGGTAGGACATATCGTAATATCATTTAGTACCTATTATTTTGTCTCCTCGAGGCTTTTGCGACTCTTTGAGAATCTCTCCAAGAGTCCGACATTCGACATCCGACTCGATCGAGTGAAACAAAACACGGGCGACGCGGGTGTACGAAGACGTACAGTGTATTGTATTTACGAGAGCGGCCGCTATCGTTGCATGACCGTATCGACGAAAATAGCGTTCCGATACCTCAAAGAAATTTCTTTCTGATAACAAACCATTTACGGAACAGTAGGCTCGAGCTTGCGATTACGTACACGCGCGTCGTTCTCCGTGGCCCGTGGGCGAGCGCGCTGAGCTCCTCTTTTATCATTAGGAAACCGCGCGACGACAACCGTCTGAACCGCTCACATCAGTCTATATTGTCCACAATAGCGAGATCTGAGAGAGACAACAATCATATTTGTAACATTTTCTTTCAACTAGTAATGCAGGAAATGCTGTCAAGAGTGCGTCTGCGTACGTATAATTAAAATATACCGAGAGATTGCTATTACTTTCAATATGGTCAATACGGTGATGCTTTTAAATAACGTTACCTTTTTTACTTTACCCCTGTTAGATATCTTCTTTTAAAAAGAACATGGTGACACCACGTTCAGAAAATCTGCCTCTTTTTACGTGCTTTCGCCGGCATTCTCTCCACGTATGTTTTTTCTTCTTTTTTCTCCAATTCTCTGTAGTATTCTCTGTACTTTTTAGTCATTTTGATTTTGAGCAGTTGTACATATCAATAGATCACTTGAGATGTCGGCCGAGTGCATTGGTTGTTTTTGAAATAACTAAAAGAATGCAATATTACAGAGAATTCCTGGCGAATAAAGTAAAGGTAAAATAACACGATACGCCGTTTCACATAAAATTAGACCCTAGGTACTCTCCCTACGGTTACTTTTTTTTTTAATTTAGCCTTTCCAATGTCTGTTTTAAATCTCTCTAACTTTCCTCTGCATTCGTCGCTACCATTGCAATACCTCTCACCCTCCTCCCCCCATCTCTCTCTCTTCCTCTCTCTCTCTTTCCAATATCCTCCAATTATTCTCGGACAGCCTGACATTTGCGTCAGCAGGTTTATCACGATTTTCTAGCTTCTAGCGTTAGCCTTTCTCCGCGGCAACAATCGTCTCGTCATTTCGTTTCCTTCTCTCTCTCTCTCTTCCGTGTTCTCCCTGACCGCAACGGATAATAAATTCGTCGCGGATGTCGGTCGCCCACGGTGACGATGGAAAGCTTTGAATGGGAGTCGCCGAGGAAGACACATACGTACGCATGCACACACGCTCGCGCCGGCCGCGGCCGCGGTGGCCCGGCTAAAAATAGCGGGAATTCGTACCTTACAGCGTGAACTCTGGAGCGCGGATTATTCCTTTTTTCTCTCTCTCTCTCTTTCTCGCTCTCTCGCTCTTCCAGGCTTCATCCGACTGACTGTCCGCTCGCTCGTCCGTCCTCGCGATCCTCGAGCAAGTCTCTACCGTCCACCGTCCACCAGCCACCAGCCACCAGCGAACGCGAGCCACAAGCGGGACCGAGACTGAGACCGCAGTATAATCGTAAATGGTAATGTCTCACGCACACCCTCTGACCCTCTGAATCCTGATTCCTCTGCCTCTGAAGCGAGAGCCTTTGTCACTTGCCGGTCACACGGTGAGGTCCCTCGAGCTTTCCTGGACAATCACGAGACACACGGCACGTTTCCACTTCATTTTGCTGAGCACTCTTCGCGAGAATCGCGAGACGTCGAGGTCGTCGAGGAGGAGAAGGAGAAGGGGGAAGAGGAGGAGAAAGACAAGGAAGACGAGGAAGACGAAGTAGACGAAGAAGACGAGGACGACGACACGGCGCACGGCTCGAACGCTGCCATCTCGTTCATCTTTATTTACTAATTTTGGACATGAATGCTAGAAACGGCTGAACGTTCGATGCGTTCGGAGTGTTCGCTGTGTTCGGACCGCGATGATTACGGCCACACAGAGGCGGTGACGGTTAGCGGTACTAGCGGTACTAGGTACTACTAGGTACTAGGTACTAGGTACTAGGTACTAGGTACTAGGTACTAGGTACTAGTGACAGAATCGACTCCGCGGACTCCGCCAATCGAGAGTGGACCGCTTAACGAGCGCGTATCCCGATAGGTTGCCGTCGTTTGCGACGTATTGTAGAACCAGCTTAAGGGTGCGATCCACTTGGCGCTTCAAACGCTCTTGGAAACATTTTATCCTTGTTGTTTATCAAATATATGTTAAACAAATGCTCACAAAATGCTTTTGAAGCGTCTAGTCCTCTCTAGTCTAGTGTGGATCGCACCCATTGTCCGAATACATTCATATTGCTTTCTCTTTCTTTCTTATATTTCTTTCTCTTTCTGTTTCTCTTGCTTTTGCCAAGAAATGGTGAACCAATTAAAAGTTGCTACCGTATGGCCAGACTCTCTTTGGTCTGTTCGTTTTCGCTGCACTTCTGAACTAGTGCAATAAGTTGGAATGAAAGAACATATATTTGTTTCATTCTAACTTATAGCACTATTATTACGTTTACGCGAGCGTTACTTCTGTAGTTACTTACGATAATTCACTTGTTTACACAGAATGAATTATCGTAATACCACAAAACCCCGTTTAAGGCTCCTGGTCCCTGAGCCGAGAACTCTGCGTTGACGTAGCGCCGTACCGTCGCGGCAGAAATAAGAACTCTCTCCTCTCACTCTCTCCAATGGAGAATTCTGTCTTGTGACATGTTGACAACCTTATTTTAAGTTGCGGTTTGCGGTATATTTCTTTATTATTCGCTCTGTACTTGTGCTCTAACGTTTAACGTATTCGTGAAACTCGTAAAATTGACCGTATGGTAAGATTTGCAAGAAATATATATGCGGAAGGAACATTCACCACTCCTTTCGATAGTCGTCAAACGGCTTGTTTTCCGTATGTTTAGGCTTTGTTTTATGGTTGTTTGTTTATTGTCGAGGGAAAAGGATAGTATCTGGTCAATTTTTGAAGTGTGCTGAAACGATCTGTCGTGATTTTTTATTGAAATGTTTTTTTATTTCGGAAAATACCGCAACTTAAAATTAGGTGTTTTCCTCGTTTCGATAGTAAGAATCCAATATGGCCGCGGTGACTACCCAGGAGCCTTAAGAAATTGACTAATTACAGTCGAATTTGAGAAAAATATCGACTGTGATTGGTCTATTTTCTTACGGCCTTACGATTATGACTAAAACTTTGTTACGTGCAATTGCCTAAATAAGGAACAAGATAAAGGAATTAGGAATAAAGCATGTTGCACCTCACTTTAATGTACGTGTACTGAAGTAAGATGCGACATTCCCTTATTCCTTATTCCTTTATCTTATTCCTTATTTTTGTCGTTGTGTCTGAGCCCTTAAGGTCAATCCAGACAAACTTGCATAGCGCATAAACATAAGCATAAGAGAATTGATTGGTCCATATGCATGTGCATAAGGAAATAGACCAATCCGTTTCTTTATGCATATGGTTATGCACCTATGCAAGTTTGTCTGAATAGACCTTTAATGAGGGATGGGACACCGAGGCTGCAGGCTGCAGGATGCTGATTGGTCGTCCGCCATTAATGGGATACTTCCGCTTTAAGTATATTTTAGTAAAGATAGTAGGTGCATTCGGGGAGCACGCTATTAGCACAATTATCGTCCAAAACTGTTCGAGGAGACGCTTTGTGGCGCTGTGATAGTCGATGATGACGTCCCTGTAAAGGCAGTGTGACGTCATCACTCGCGCTATTTTCGCTATTATTTTCGAGGTGAGGCACGAAATACTATTGGCGCTTAAGCTGCGTTCGGGGAGCTTGCTATCGCTGTCGCGCTATTGGCTCTTCGAACGAAGTTCATAGCGTTTGCGTTTATAGCGTTAATAGCGTCTCCCTGAATGCACCCAGTGTATAGCTAGGCTGCATTCGGAGAGGCTGCTATTAGCGCTATTGTATCATTCCATCTTTATCGCTCATTAAATGTAAAACAAGGATAGAATAAGCAAATAGCGCTAATAGCGCGCTCCCCGAATGCAGCCCTGTGTATAGTATATGTCACTAATGGTCGCAGGGGAAAGTGATCAAAACAAGCCGTATGCCGTATTGTCCTCTAAAAAAAGGCAGGAAGAAATATAAGAAATATTATAACTGATAAAATAAGAAAAAATAAAAGTGTAAGTATTGTACTTAATAAATCCAATTTTATTACAATTGAATGTGATTTTATATTATCATTTAACACTGAAATGAGAATATATATAAGAAAATACATAACCTCAACTATAAATCATCAAATTAATTAATATTAATAAATATAAATTATTTAGAAAATGCGATATTGCGAAGCAGTTAATTGTGGCAATTCAAGTAAAAAAGTCTTCAAAATGTGCCATTTCCCTACCTCTCCGAACCGAAGAGCAAAATGGATAAAAAATGTGGGGCGTGATAAGTGGTCTCCTAAAAAATATTCAACATTATGTGAAGTGAGTATTCAAGTTTTTTGTGATTTGAGTTTACTTATATTTAACTTATATTTCTTATTCTAGAAACATTTTCCGATGAAATGTGGGAAAATGCACAAAAAATTGGGGAAAAAAAAATTAAAAGCCAACAGCAGTTCCCAATCGTTTTGACCAGCCAACTCTTCCTTTATCTTTACTTACAACTATTTTAGGTAATTATTTATACTATTCGAATAATAATCATAAAAAAATTGGCAAGTAAATGATATTATTTTGATTTCATTTTAGAAGAGTATATTGAAGAACAAACTTCAAACAATCATTCTGAACACAATTGTGATCAAGAAATTAACTCGGCAAATCATGAAATTAACTCGGAAACTTTAAACAATCATTCTGAACACAGTTGTGATCAAGAAATTAACTCGGCAAATCGAGAAATTAACTCGGAAACTTCAAACAATCATTCTAAACACAATTGTGATCAAGAAATTAACTCGGAAACTTCAAACAATCATTCTGAACACAGTTGTGATCAAGAAATTAACTTGGCAAATCAAGAAATTCACGTTTTATTTGATTCTAACATGCAGTTAAAATGTTGTAAGTATTTATTTTATTTTTTACAACTGTTATCAATATAATTATTATTTATGCACTGTCTTCTTTATATACTATTAAATTTTAAATAATTTAATGATCGTTAATTTTACAGCAAGAAACAATGAAGACGCAAAGAAAATTTTTAAGTTGGAGAAATTGGTTAAAAGATATGCGCGAGTTATAAAGACAATGCAGACGCAACACAAAAAACAAAAAAAAATATTTCTAAACCGCATTCAGAAACTTAAACAACAAGTACGTGTTAATAATACTATTTCTGCTCTTTTTAATGATTTAATCACAAGTTAAAATCATTAACCGACAGTATAAGAAAGTACCTAAATGGTGTCATGCCACATTAGTAAAAGCGTATAAATTAAAGTTTTCTTGCGGAAATTCTAGATATCAAGAATTGTTAAATCAAGGACATCCATTGGCTTCAGTCCGTACATTAACAAGAAAATTAGAGAATATAAAGTTTGAACCAGGGATTATTGATGAAGTTTTTGATTTCTTAAGTATAAAAATATCTCATTTTAAAAAGGATACCGATAAAGACTGCATTGTAGTATTAGATGAAATGACAAAAGTAAACAAGAAGCTTGTCAGGCTTTAGTTATCATGCTTGCTGGCATTGCTAGTCGATGGAAACAAATAGTTGCTTATCACTTTACTACAAAAACTTTAAAAGGAGTAGATTTAAAAGATGTCGTCGATAATGTTATTAAGAAAAGTGAATAGGCTTACGTATTCATGCCATAACTTCTGATATGGGTGGTGCAAATCAGGGATTGTGGAAATTATTTGGTATTAATGCCAATAGATTTTCTCGCGTTGTAAGCATCCTTGTGATGAAAAAAGAAAACTATGGTTTTTTGGTGATATTCCACACTGTTTTAAAAATATTAAAAGTGGATTTTTAAATAATAAATACATTGAAATGTCTCAAATTTTTGTAGATAAGTACAATCTATCTACGAATTTAGTAGAAATAAGTCATATATAAGAATTAGTTGAAACACAAAAAGATTTGGATTTTATGCTGGCACCAAAGCTTCGTGAAGAATACTTAAATACAAAAAATCATTTCTTGAAGATGCGGGTTAGTAGCGCATCTAACGTATTGAATTATGATGTTAGCTCAGCATTAAATTTTTTAGCTGAAGAAAAAAACAAAGTTTCTTATAAATCTACATCGTGGTTTGTACAATATATTGCTCGTTGGTTTGAAATAATGATTGCGCGCTATCCTCTCTTTGCTTTGGGGAAAAAAATGGAGGAGTATAATAAAACGATAACATTTCTCAAAGAAGCCATAACTTTTTCTTCTGAATTAAAAGTTGGAAAGGATCAAAGTTGGAAACCATTTCAAACATCAGCTATGATATCCACTACGTCATATATTCAAGTATCAGAATATTTACTAAATAAGGGTTTTGATTTTGTTATGAGTTCGAGATTTAGCCAAGATTGTTTAGAAAATGTTTTTTGCATTGTACGGTAAAAACATCCTACACCAAATTCCATTCAATTTAAAAATAATTTAAAGCTAATCACAATATCACAATATATGGAAAATGTCAGTCACGGTAATTATGAGGAAGATGATCGAACTTTTTTATCAGAGTTTTTAGAAATTTTAGAAAAGAAAAATACAAAAAAGACTAGAACTAATGATGAAAAGAAGAAAGAAGAAGAGGACGGCAATAAGGAAAATAACTGTGATATCATTAATAATAATAATATTAATGGTAATTATAATAAGCATAATAACAATAGTAATAATAATAACACAAATCTAAATAGTAATCAAAGTAAAAGTATTATTATACAAGATTCTACACCAACTATCAATGTAACAATTCAACTTAACAATATTGAACAAAATATTTTATCAAAATCAAACAAAGGGCTTGCGAACCAGCAGGTTGTTTATGCT